ACCGCCTATGCCTCGCGGTCCGAAGGGCCTCGCGCCTCGAAGGTTTATGCATTACTTAAAAGCCGCGAACGCGACGAAAAAATTTTACTCGTCATAAAACGATAAATAGTTTGTCAAATTTTTATTCATAAAAATGCAGTTTCAACTGCTTTTTATTTTATAAAATCCGTCTTCTTGCGCCACCAGAGGGCCTTTTAAACAATAGGTAGTCTGTTAGCGTTGGTCAGTAGTAGTCCAAATTCAATACGAATGTTTGTTTCTTGAAAATTTGATCACTATTTAAATACAGTATTTACTTTTAATATTACCGATATGTCATCGAAAAGAAAATGTGTTGTATTATCATTAAAAGACAAATTAAAGTATTTGTTTCGATTATCCGGATTTTTCCTTATCCGGACTACCTTCATCCCCGATTAGTCCGGATAATCGAGGTTCCACTGTAGTTGAAAATGGCAATAACATATTAACTGTCGTCTCGGAGATAGCTGAGTATTCACTTCTTATTGCCAACCAAAATATATCCAAAAGCACTTTGAGGAGTTTTAATTTCAATGTTCTGTCTGCTTTTAATTCTGCGAGTTTCTCCTCTTGTAAATTAATCGATTGAGATTCTGAAGTCGCAACGAATGGATCACAAACCCAGTCAATATCTTCAACACTGTCTCCAAAATACTTCTTGAACATCTGCTGCAGGATTTGTAAATGTTCTTTAATTAGATCCATCATCACTTTATTACCATAAGCAAGTGACCATACAGTCAAGAACATTTCAAACGAACCATTTTCAATTCTCTGTATCCATAAATTTAGCTTATTCACAAATCCTTGAATCTTATCCATACCAGTAAGAATATTTTCATTTCTACCTTGCATTTTTCTGTTCAGCTCATTCAAGTGTATGTAAATATCGGAAAGATATGCCAACTTACATACCTAGTCATCATCTGCAAATAAATCTGCATACTCATGCCCCTTGACAGTCAAAAATACACATACCTTGTCTTTAATTTTAACCCCTTAAGCCCATAACCCGAGATATCTCGGGCCAATATTTGCATTAACACTTTTCCTCATGTACTTCTGTATGTAGCAGGAGTGTGGTATGTCCTGACACAAAACAGAAAATAGCCGTGAATTTAGGGGTTGTGATTTGACGAGGTTCACGACTTTTACTACTATGTCCAGCACAACTTTCAGAGAAGATAGCAAAGATTTAGCAACAATGGCTTTGCGATGAATAAGACAATGATCGCATCGTATGTTAGGATTAATTTTGTGTACTTGAACTATAAATCCTTTCACATGGCCTGTCATAGCTGTGGCTCAGTCTGTACAAATACTAACACAGTCTTTCCATCTTAATTCATTTTGGAGCACATATTCATTAGTCACACAAAATATTTCTTCACCAATGGCTCTCTCGGGAAGTTCTTTGCAAAAAAGAAATTAGTTGCAATTACATTAACATTGATTTACTGAATATAAGCAAGAAGTTGTGCATGGCCACTAATATTGGTGGACTCGTTGATCTGAAGTGAGAACATTCAACTGCTGTTGATTTTCTCTTTCATAATGTCTTCATTGTCACTGGACATCTCTATAACTCAGCGACTGATTGTGTCAGCAGAAACGGGAATTTTTGATATTTCACTAGCAGCTTCTGAATCCAGGACTATTTTCACCATCTCTTTACAAGCAGGCATTAATAATGTTTCAGCTATTGTATGTAGTTTTTTTGGCCTTTACGATAAGTTCAGCTACCTTATAGCTAGCTTTCTGTATTTTGTCAGAAACACATACTGTTGTGGTCATGAATGTTGCTTGTTTTTTGTTTTGTTCCGACAACCAATGAAAATAATTGACATCTTTGTTTGACAGAGAAGAATGTTTCGTTGACAAATGTTGTTTTAATTTACTGGGAATCATAGCAGAATTACTAAGTTTTTCACCACAAATGATACATTCGGGGATTAGGCATGTTTTATCACCAAACAAAAAAAACCGTAAGATAAATAATTATCACTATACTGCTGGTGCACTAATTTTTGTTTTTGTTTTTGTTTTTGTTTTTTTTTCGGGCTCAATGCTTTCACTACTTGTACTCGTCAATGGAACACTCCGTACAAGGAATTTGTCCATCTTGAAAAAAATTAAATAGTTTAATAATAATAGATAAAAAAAATAAGATTGACTAACAGTCACAATTTTAGGACTACTTCGGAGCACAGCTGAGATAGAACTGAAATATTTGCAAGATGTGGGTCTTATATTCTTCAAAGGGAAGCCTAACAATAGGTCGATGATTAAAAATATACAATGAATAAAAATATATCGACAAACAAAACTATGAAATAAGATCATCAGTGCTGTGGCAGAGAAATAAATACAACCATAAGAAACAGCAACTGTGATGATAAAAATATATAAATAAAACTTAATAATTAATAGAATATATAAAAGTTCACGTCACACCTTTCACTTGTGATGACACACTGGTTACAGAAAACTGGTTTAGAGTAATAATACTCTACAAATGTAAATATATTTTTAATGAACAATTGAATGGAAGTTTATTACATCACACCTGGTATTATAACAGCCAATCATTTTAAACTTTTGAAATCTTAACAGTTTATGTTTTAAACACTAAAAACACAATGCCAAGAAATAGTGAACTTTCAGAGGCTGAAATTCAAAATATATATGAATTATGAGGTGCCAGAAAGTTTCAGAGAAATAGCTGCAATAATTAATCACTCTAAAACTGCTGTGGCCAATGTATAAACAAAACAAGAAAATTATGGAAAATGGAGAGAAGTGGATGCAAGAAAGCATTAACTGACATAGATAAATGAAAGGTTTTCTTCCTTACAAAACAACAAGTAAATTAGACGCTATCTACTAGATAGGTAGTTGCTAATTTACCAAAATCTATGTCCATTAGACGATGTGGTGGCATGCTGATGATGATAATAACATAAAATACTGAAAAATAAAGTGAGCTAATTTGATACTTGTTCACAAGCAACAAAGACTTCAATAGGCTAAATCTGTTACAAGTTTGACCAGGGAGTGGGAAAAAGTTGTTTTCTGATGAAAAAACTAGAATTTAAATGGACCAGATGGTTATGGATATTATGGACATGATGTAAAAAGAGAAGCCAAAGTTAGAATGAATAGTCAGTGAGGATATGGCAGTGTAATGGTTTGGGATGCTTTTGGATTCAATGGAAAAACTGATATTGCCATTGTTGATGAAAAAATGGATTCTTCAAAATATCAGGATATGTTAAAAAATAATTTAAGTGCATTGGACCTTTAATTGGTGGAAGTAATTGGATATTTCAATGAGACAATGCTCCACTCCATGCATCAAAATCAACTAAGATCTGGTTTATTAAAAACATTAAAAAAAAGTATTAGACTAGCCTTCTAGAAGTCCAGATCTTAGTCCAATAGAAAATTTATGGAGTATAATAACAAAAATAGTTTATGGTCAAAACAAGCATTATCATCAAGTAAACCAGTTAAAATTAGCAATTATAGAATGCTTGAGAAAATATTGAAGTGAAACAATTGCAAAACTCGATTCAAACTATTCCCGATATTGTTTGATGTTATTCAAATGAAAGGAGGTCCAACTAAATATTAAATTATATGAATTTTGCTAAAAATATGCAGTCCTTATAATTACGTTACATTTAAAAATGCAGTTAATTTCAAAAACAGTTTAAAATTACTTTAATTATCATCAAATATTAATAACAATGATTTTTAACATTGTTTTGTGTTTATTATTATGTATCTAAAATTTTAAAAGTATATTACAAATTGAAGTTGAGTAATTAAAATTAAATTGTTGTCTATGTATTTCTGTTACAAGATTGAAAACAAAAGCCAATAACTGTAAAAGCATCAGTTTATACTTATTTTAAGTTTGTGTACTTTTCTAAAAGTTCTACCTTTGTTCCTGTTGTTTTGTCCCCTAATTCATTTAATTTATTTCATAATTCAGAAACTGTTATATTCTTTAAGTCCATGTTTTTATAAGTACATTAAAATTTCCCATTCAGTCTCCACTGTTTAATCACCAACAGAAATTAAATATACATCAAACTGACCCTAGTGTTGCAAGTGATGAGATTTAAACCATGCATGCCCATTATTTAATAGTGTTTTGCTGACTACATTGAAGTTGTAAGGATGTCTGATGTGTTGAAGTAATTGCAACATAAGTGAATTAATTTATCAGTTAGTATTGGAAAAATTCAATCACCAGAAATGTTAGTTGTTATGTCTATTTGCTTAGAATGCCACCTTTGCAAGAAAGTTTACATTAAAAAAAGATGTGTTAAATTAAGGTTAAATTACTATAAAAGGCTCTATAAAAACTAAATTGAAATTTTATAAGATATTTTTAAAAATATCTGAACAACAATTAGTTAACAATTAATTGTATGATTAGATGATTGTACAATCCCAATTAATCGTTTATCATTAATCAGCTAACTCACCAATCAATCCATTCTTATCTCTTAGGAATACTGAAATGTTTATTTATTGATGATTATAATAAATACTTTATTATTATTATTCAAACTACTATATAAATATTGCAACATCATTTTAATAAATTAAAATTTAGAACTTTCAGAATTAAATAAATTTTTAGTTATTTAGTTTAAAAGAAATTTTAAAAGAAAATAATAGTATTTTAATGAAACTTCAGATCACAATACCATAGAAAATTCTTATTATAGTTTAGATTATATCATTTTTTCATATAATGTATTAATTGTGGCTATTAAAATTTTCCTGTAAGAAATATATTAATTGTTAATAAATTAATTTTAGTCCATTAATACTTATATATACATACATGTACAGTACATTACTTCTGAGTATTGATAATTAATCGTTATTCATATAAATAAATTGCAATTTTGAAATTTTGTCTTAATTTTCAAATTAATTATGAATTTATCTATTTTGTACAGATTTTGATACTTGAATTACAATATCTAATGAAAAGAAGTCATTATGATTAATTTATATACTCAAAAAGAGCCATTGATATTACCAGAAATTACTAAGTATAATGCTGAATACCTTTGTATTGTTGCTGCCAAACATTGTAGAATTAGCCCAGCATCAAGGCATCTCTTTGCTCTCTGGAATCCTAATAAGAATATTTGGTATAGTCCATGTAAAATAATTGATGTAGGATCCAACAAAGATTTGAATCTGTACTTCAGGTTAAGATTTCATCCTTCAGATGTAAAAAAGTTGGCGGTAATTATTATTTTATTTGTGTTTATTATAAATTATATCTTAATCAGTAATTTTATTATATATTATTTGTATCATATTGTAATTAATAATCCTGTAAAAAAAATAATAATATTTACATTTATAGTAAATATTATAATTTTGGTAATATTTATAAAAGTATTAAGTATTCTAATAAACAGCAAGTATTTTCTAATTTTTACAACAGTTTTTTAATAATAATTTTTAAAAATTATCTGATTAGATATTAACCATATCATTATTGTTATTATCATTTCATATTATTTAGGTTTATTATATTAATAATTATTATATGTATTGTAAAATTATAACAAGACAATTTTTATAAAACAGATTGATCAACAAGCATGCAATTATTATTTTCATCAAATGAGAAATGATTTTTTACAAGGAAAAATTAAACAACTCTCAAATAATGCAGATGACTCCTTTGGTCTGGCAGTTACTGATATAATTCGTACTGCACTTGAACAGGATTTAAATCCCGAACAAATGAAAATTGAATATTCAAATTTTTTACCTAAAGTATTACGTAAGTGAAATGTTTTTAAAATTTTGTATTTAAATATTACTTACTTGATTTATTCNAATATAAAATTATATCACATACTTATGTTATTTCATATTTTTGTAGTTACATTTTATGATAGATAATATTTACATTTATATTCATAGCCTAAAATTATACAAAAAATTATTGTGTAAAATTATTTGTTAACACTGTAATATATTATGATATTTAATTTTAGTTACATTAAAATCAAGTCAAAATCTGGTTAATTTGAACTTGGTTAATTCAAATTATCATGTAATTCAAACTTGGTATTATTTCTCTTGAATTTTATATTAAAATTGGTGTTAAAATAAGACATTTGGATTGTTCACAATTGACATGGTATATTTCATATATATATATATATATGAAATATTTCTCTTTCAGGATATATATATATATATCCTGGAAGAGAAAGTAGCATGTAATTTATAGAATGCAAGTATTTTGAGAATTTCCTGAAATGCATGTTTTGTAAATGCCTGTGGTATGAGAAAAATTGTTATATTTCACCGTTTTAATAATAATTGTATCTTGATAGCAGAGCTGCTTATCTATGTTTTATCAATGTCCAAGGGTGGATTGTATATAAGCAACAGTTGAAGTGATTACATACTTCCTTACTATTCCTTTAAGGAGAAAATGTGATATTACCAAAGAATATAGAATAGTACAATACTGCCAAACAGTAGATGCTTGGAGAAAATTTATTTAATTTTCAAAAACAGATAATTTGAACTTATCTTACTTTTCCCCTAGTTATTTACCCCATAATTGTTAGGATTATTGCCAAGCCCTTATACTACGTTCGCACACAATCCACGACTCACTTCGATCTCAATTTACCAACAATCTGGATTGTGACTGTCACTAGTCGAACGTCGTGCTGTTCGCACAGGCAGTCCGCTCGAGAAGAACCTGGCTATTACACACGATCATAAAACTGACGTAACTACGTGGTAAGTCACAAACACCAACAAACAAAATGGAAGTTTTGGTTAGAAATAAATACTTTTTCTTGCCGTACATCTAATAATAGACAGATGTCATCGTCTCTCCTGATGTCTTTTTTATTTCTCTGTCGATAGCCCAACACATCTTCTGCAGCCATCTTGTATTTTCTCACGCGCGTGGGATTGTGGGATCTCTCTTATGACTGGATCTAGTTTCGAGAACTCTCTCCAGTCGATTGCGATTGAACCTCGTTTCAGTCAAGATTGAAACGGTCGAGAGCATTCGTACCACGGAACACTCTCCGACCTTAGTCACAATTTAGATTGAAATGCTTGGTGCAAACGGGGTATTAGTGGTTTGGTCATAATCTAGCTTTTGTTTACAAAAGAACAAAGGTAAAATGGTAGAAGAATGTCCGCTAAAATTTAAATCAGATTGGCATAAGAATAAGTTTCTCACAGTGGTCATTATCTCCTTGATTGATTGGAATCCATCCTTTACTTAAGATGGAAAATTCAAAAAAGAAGAGACTTTGGAAGCAAGAGATTTTCTACCCTCAGATCTCAGATACTTGGTATTTTTTTAAGTTTAGATTGACAAGACAAATACAGGCAAGATATTTAGATTAGAACAATAGTATAGAATAAAAATGACTCTAAATTTTGCTGGATCTGTCCAAAGAAAATTTTTTTATCTATGATAGTTCAGAGTTTTGTTTCATATTATCAAGAATTTGAGACTATATTTTATGCAAGTTGTTTTGTTATCGTGTATTTGATATACTGTATATTTGTTTTTTTTGTATATATACATTATTAGAAATAACAATACTTGAGAGTAGAGTGTAAATCAATGTTATTCTTCACTTGTGATTTTATTCAGACATTTCATTCTTATTACAAGATGAGAAATGAAGTTGGACCAGTTTGATTTGTATAGTAACTGTTTTAAATGAATAAATAACTATTTAGATGAATGTCATAATTTTTACCAATTATGATGTGGATGTAAACAAATTTAGAAAACATTAATACATTAGTATAATTTTCTTCTTTATCTGCATTAATTAGAGACTCAGACTCACAATCAAGGAAAAAATCAGAAAACCTTTTTATTTACTTGTTTTATAAGTTTTTTTTTTTAAATATCATAATTTTGCTTAGGAACCAAAAGTAAATTTTTTTTATTTTTTTATAAATTATTTAAAATATATTTAGTAAATTTTTTATGAATCAAATTTATCAATTCTTCCAACAAACTGGGAAAAAGAAATTTGATCATCATAAATGGTTTTAAAGGTTTTTTAGAAAAAAAAATTCAAAATTTTTTTTATTTTTGAGAATATTTTCATTCATATTATTTGAAGAAGGTTACGTAATATGACAAGTGAAACTTTAATATTAAATTTCAGAAATGGATATCTAAGTTATAGTAACAATAACCAAGTGGCTATTTATAGTTTAGAGTTACCGTAAATAATTGACTGTTTATAATTACGTGACTATTTAAAAAAAACATGAATTTTTGGATTTTAGAGAGTTTTAACAATAAGGACTTTCTTTATCTTAACTTGACTATAAAACAGTATATAATGGACAGATACACCATGTCACAATAGGAGCAACATATCATGTATCAGAAATACACAAAAGCCACAACATCTATTGAAATGATATGTTATATATGTTACCAGCAAAGTTTGAAATTCGGCATTCTATAGAATGCCTTTGGCATTGTATATAATGCCTAAAACTAGCCAGCAATCTATGAAATGATTCATATTTTACAAATTTCCTAGGCATTCCATAGAATGCCAAATGAGAAACCGGCAAAGTACAAAATACATCTCCGATTCGTTTCAAATTTCATGTGGCAAGGCATGTGATTTTTAATGTGCGCCTCAGGCTTAGAATTTGTCAGTTGCACTTTGTGGTTTGTTCAGGAGTGTCAAAATACGCAATTTTACTTAAATTTGTTCAACAAAAAATTAGTTTTTTACTGTGCTCCATAAAAATGGAAGAGCACAAAGCTGTAGTGTTGGAGAAGGTATCATGGTCTATAGACATGAAACAACAATTCGATGATGAACTGTCCAAAATTCGAGTTAATGCTGCAAAAAAACAATATTTTCTTAACCGAAACTACTTATCAGAAGTTAATAAATGATGTACAAAAAGCCAAAACGACTACTAAGAAGGAACCCAGGGACTATTGGTTGCTGAATTGTTATGTGATGATTGTAGAAAACAAAAGTAAACTCATTTATCCTGTTAAAGAAGGCATCAGCACTATACAGTATTACATCATGGACTCAGGGTTATTTCATGTACTTCATGAAGCTCATTTGGCTATTGGACACGGAGGACGTGATAGAATGTTGAAAGAACTTTCAACCAAATACAAAAACATTACACATCATGATATTGAACTGTACAGCTTGCTTAGCGTCCGCCGTTTTTATTTTAAAATTGTAAAATCGCAAATTATAACAAATTATGATTCTATCTGTTATTTTGATACTTTTCTTTCTTTATAATGTTTTATTTACTTTATTTTCCTGTAATTAGAGACGATACGGCTTTAAAATAAACAGATCAGATCTCACTTGCCAATAGATTATCTCANTATTTTATTAATATATATATATATAATGAATAAGAAGATATGTGAAAACATTTTTTGCAAACTTGAACCCTCAATAAATATTTATTCATTACACAAACAACGGAATGTTCATTGTAATTTTAAATCATAAACTTTATACAAGTGTAATTTATAACAAATCGATTTAGAACATGATAAAAACAATTTTATAACGGAAACGGAAATAAATTATAAAAAATGTATGAAAAATAAACAGTTCTGACAAAACTGATTCTTAAATATCAAGGACAACATTCTGTTCAATAAAATTACAGTAACCTTGACATGTGACCCGCCTCCAACAAGGAAGGGAGTTATTGTTTACAGAGTAACGTGATACTTCGCGCGTTGTTGTCGTTAACGGTGGGTGTGGGTGGCAGCTCACTTGACACCCTGTTGTGAAAGTAATAAAGTTTAACCGACCTTGACAGACGTGTCTAGTTACTAAGAATAAGAAGTGGGGAGTTGTTTAAACGGTAATAAAACGTGGTTCATTAAGGGACTCTCCTACTCTACTCATATTACCACAAAAGCAATAAACACTTAACACTAGACTTTAAAACACGGTCAATTCCTATCCGATTACAAAGGAACCGACGACAATTGGTGAAAGTTGAGATAATCTATTGGCAAGTGAGATCTGATCTGTTTATTTTAAAGCCGTATCGTCTCTAATTACAGGAAAATAAAGTAAATAAAACATTATAAAGAAAGAAAAGTATCAAAATAACAGATAGAATCATAATTTGTTATAATTTGCGATTTTACAATTTTAAAATAAAAACGGCGGACGCTAAGCAAGCAGTGATGAGCGACTAGTAAGTCAACCCGTATGGCACGTGACTGCACGCTGAAAGTACCTCCAGCTCGATTTCCTCACCCCTATTACGGTGCAAATCGGATCAGTCCATTCCAAACACCTTTGATAACAGGTAGGACATCCTGGCTTATCAATTGAACTGCTTCCGCCCATGCGCAATCGATCGCCTGTTAGACAAGCATTATGGACGGACGTGTACATCCACCTTTGTGAACCTTGCCAGAAAAAACAGAAAGGTATTAAAAAGGGCATTGTTGTGAAACCTATGATTTTTTCCAAATTTAATTCCCATTGTCAGGTAGATCTTATTGACTTTCAGTCTCAGCCAGATAGAGAATACAAATTTATTACGGTGTACCAAGATCATCTCACAAAATTTGTTATTCTTAAGTCTCTAACGTCAAAAAGAGCTGAAGAAGTAGCCTACAACCTAGTGGACATATTCTCGTTGCTTGGAATGCCATCTATATTACAGTCTGACAATGGTAGGGAATTTGCCAATAATATGGTGACCAGCTTGAAGGAGTTTTGGCCAGCACTAAAGATCATCCATGGGAAACCT